GCTAATAATACAAACACAATATTTCTAAGAGAATATTTAAGTTCAATTACTTGCTCTGGATTGCCCCCCTCCATTTTGAAGCTCAAGAAAGGAGTTCCTTTAATGATTTTAAGAAATCTTAATATAGAAGATGGTCTTTGTAATAGAACAAGATGTATTTTACTTGATTCAACTAGAACACAACTAAAAGTTAGACTTATTTCTGGAGATAAGAAAGGTTAAATACATTTCATTCTAAGGATCAAATTCCATCCATCTGAAAAGTATATTGGATTTCAAATGGAAAGGCTTCAATTTCCAGTTTGTTTAGCATTTGTAATGACAATAAATAAAGCTCAAGGCCAATCTGTAACAAATGTTGGAATTGATCTTAGATCTCTATGTTTTACTCATAGTCAATTATATGTTGTATTATCAAGATGTACATCTGCTTCAAGAGTTAAAGTATTATTTCCAACAGAACTTAGAGATCCTAGACAAGAATTTGTTACTTATAATGTTGTATTTAAAGAGGCTTTAGTATAATTGTATTTAGATCATATTATTATATTTATTGTTACACTAATAGAATTATTTATTTATTTATATTAAAAAGTACAGAAATTACATTTGAAACTATTATTAAGAGAGGGTCCAGGGGGCAAGCCCCCTGACTTTTGCTGAAGGTGAAAAAGCAAAGCTTGTTTTCTAGGAAGAAGATAACACTTTGTAACAAATCCACAATATTTGTTAGGTATAAGCTGACATACTTAGGGAGAGAGGCTGAAGAATTGCAAATACAGAAGGTTAGAGATTAGCTGCCTTGTAAGAGTGTTACAGAAGTCAGAGGATTTCTCAGAACAGTAGGAGTACTTTGTGTTTTTATTTGGAATTATACAAAGTTAGTACAACTACTCAATTGACTCACACAAAAGAACTTGATATTCATTTAGAATAACAAAGTACAGGAATCTATAAACACACTCAAGGAAGCAGTTTTACATTACCCTGTATTAATACTAATTGACTATAAGTCAGAGTATTTAGTAATCTTAGCTGTAGATTTGTCTATCATTAGAGTAGGATAGTATATTAGCTAGGAGTACTTGGATCACAAACAGAGAATAAATTGATTTGGATTGATTAACTGGAATACAACTCAGGCACAATATTTGTAAGCAAAAATAGAGCTATTCAGACTTTATCACACACTTTACACATTACACATATATCTTATAAGAGTCAGGAAACTAATTGTAGAAATGAACACTTTATACATAAAAGGAATAATTAATAAGTCTGACCTACAGTCTAATACTATAATCAATTGTTAGATAGTTAGTATTTTACTATTTGATTTCAAGTTCTGTCACATTCCTACATTAGACTTTAAGTGTACAGATGAATTATTACAATACTAAGTAGTACTTAAAGACCCTCCAGACAACAAGACTTATGAAGACTAGATTGACAAGTTATACAGATTTTACACAGTAGAAATAGAATCAACACAATACAGACATTAGCTAGAGGATTGTAGGTTTATAGAACACAAAGCTTTACTAGTTGAGTGTAAAGAAACACAATCCTAGACTTTATATGTAATATGTTAGGAGACACACAGTAACATGATTGACAAATCATTCTAAGTAAATAAGGACACAACACAGGCAACATGTTCTAACAGACTATAACATAGATTATTCCTAGAAGTTGTTATTCTGAAACAGAACTGGAATTGAATACATTAAGATAGACTAGAATGACCCAATCTAGAGTGTAGAAGAGTAGAAGTTAAAGTAGACAAAGGACAACAGGAATAGGAAATTGGAGGAGAGTCTTACAGAGTTGTACAAACTGAGGAGGTAGAAGGAGCAGATAATAAAGTAGAAGGTGACAATCTAGAGCTGATAAGGGTTGTGTATAGTATCTACAGTAACAAGACTAAGGGTTTGAATATAACAGTAGAACAATTCCTACAATCACTAACTACTAAAAGGTAAGAAGCTAGACTAAAGGCTGTAAAAGAGTATCTTAGCTCACTCTACAAACTGAGCAGAATTGTAGACACTGAATTCCTAACATTTATACAATACACAGTACAGTTCTTTGTACAGAACAACAAGATTTAGTATTAAGGTTCTGAAGGAAAGTATTAGATTGTGTCAGATAAGGACAGGAGATAGGAGTTAGTTAGGACAGTGTATAAGGATTTAGGACACAAAGGAATCTTTGTAGTATAAGCCTAGTTACTAAATCAATTCTAGTAACTATCTCTTACAGAAGACATTAAGTACTTTATTAGGACTTGTCATACATGTCAGACTCAGCAGATGTAACAAGTACTGATTCTACTAAGTATTCTAGAGATTGTACTACTTTTCTAAAAGATCTATATAGATACAAAGGTTATACCAAAAGTAGGAAGATTCTAATATATTATACATACACATTGTTTATTATTAGAGTATTTAGAGTTTTACATACTTTGTGTAGAGAATAGAAGGGTAATAGGACAGTTTATCTTTGAGGAACTTTTATACTAATACAAGGTATGTTTTAAGCTTGTAACAGACAATAGAACACTTTATGTTATAGTGTTAGAATATTTGTAAGAACAATACTATATTAATTATATTTGGATTTCTACATATAACTCTTGTACAAACAGAATTATTAAGCAGAAACACTTGAACATACAGGAAGTGATTATAAAGACAGTAGGAGACAATATTGGACATTAGTATAAGTACACACATTCTGTGTTCTGGGCAGAGTAGATTACAATTCAGAAAGTGACTAGATATTCACCTTATTACCTTATTTATAAAGTAGAGGTAATATTACTGTTTGACCTAAATAAGACAATATATTTAGTTCCACCTAAAGGATTACTACTAACAACAGAGGAACTAGTAGTAATACAAGTACAACAGTTGTAAAAGAGACTAGATAACCTTATACAAATGATAGAATGTGTTTAGAAAGCTTGTAAAGGATACACAAAGTATTTTACAGAAGTCAATTGTAATCAGATTAAGGACTATAACTTTGCCCTAAGTATACTAGTACTAATCTGTAATTTGAAAGTGAGTAACAACTTAGGATGAAAGATGAAACTATAATACCTTAAACTGTTTATAGTAGTATAGAGAACAAAAGGAAACACTTATATTGTAGTAGAATTAGACAGAGTAGTAGCTAAGTTATGTATTACAGTATTTTGTTTAATTCTGTATTTTCTGTGTTTATGTTTAACAGTTCTAATCTTACATCTTATTAAGACTGTAGAACTAATACTAGAAGATGTGAAACTGTACAGACCTAGTTATAAGAATACAGATAATCTAAATGACTATACTTTAGATACTATACTTAAAGTAGAACCAAGTGTAGAAATTACAGACTCCTAATCTAAGAGTACACAATTTTTCAATATACTCTCCTAGTCTTGTACAGGAAACTAAACATAGGGATTGATTCTCTACTAGTAATACTTAACTATTGTACAAATCCTATAAATACTGTGTTTAACTACAGTTCTATATACTTTGTTACATTTTATATTTACATACTTCTAATCTTCTATTATATTCCTTCTTATTTATAATAAATTGTAAAAACTCATACAACATTCTATAACTATATAAAACTTTATACAAATTATAATTCCTTTCTACTTACTCTTATCCTATTCTACTAGTTCTATACATAAATTATAAAATATCCATCTATCTATTCTATTCCTTTTACCTCTCTATTTTATCTATTTTCCAATCTATTCCTTCTATTTTTTGTTCTATTCTGTTTATTCTATACATTTCTGTTTTTCTGTTTATAAAAACTCAACTGAAATTTTCTATTTTACTACTTATTTTACTCTATTCTATTCCTTACTCTAACTCTTCTACCCTACTATTTATAAAGGCTTCTACTACTATAGTTAAGAAGTTAATACCTTACTTTAGAGTTATAATCTTTGTATTAAACTTGTTCTTTATTATTATTAACTGTAACTCTAAGTTGTTCAGCTCTTTAATCATTTGTAAGTAAATGTTATAAACTGTTCTAGCTTTACTATATATAATTAGAGGGATAATAGAATGTAGGCTCTAAGTTGTACTATACAATTCTATAGTTTACTCTCTAGTCTTATATTAGATTCCTTTTAAACTATATTTAGAGTAGTAGAATATGTATACTGTGTACTAGTTTTCTATACTAACAATTACTATAAATATAGTCAAAAATAAGATTCAAACAAACTTACTTAGGTTACTATAGTATAGTTAATTTATTATAGTCTAACAAGTAAATCCTTAAGAACCTTTATATCTCTTTATACACTTTATACACTTAAGTGTATAAAAGACTATTTTTTCTACTTAATTTAGAAAGATATTCTTGTTCTCCTTACTTAAAGACTCTACTATAACCTTCTAGTTTTTTACACACATTTTCTTACTAAAGACTAGAATCTTTACTTTTATAATAGTGTACTTTTTACTCAAAAGTACTAGTATTAGCTCTAAATAATAAAACAGAGTTAGTATACTTAGAAAATTAAATACTCTTTATTTATATTACTTTTTCCCTTACTTTTGTTCTCTTTCTTCTTTTCTAACTTTATAACTATTTAAGGAATTAGAAGAAACATTATATTAGCTTAGTATAATTTGTTAACTATATATTGTATTTACTAACTATAACTTGTTTCTCCTTCCCTTTCTTTCTTATATTAACACTCTCTTTCTTTATAACTAACTTTTTCTTTTCTAGTTTTATAATTTCTTTAAAAATTAAGTAAAAACAATATTAGTAGTATACAATTTGTTAACTATATATTTAATTTATACTTAACTTATTCCTCTTTTCTACTATTACTTTTGTCTTTTCTATATTTATAATAATAAAAAAACTTGTATAAATAGTTAACTTATTATATACAATTTGTTAGTTATACTTATATATATACTTTTAAACTCTTTCTTTTCCTTTCTATTCTTCTACTTTGTTACTAACTATACTAAGACTATAACTTTCTCCTTCTCCTTTTTCTTCTCTTTCTCTTTCTCTTTCTCCTTCTCTTTTTTCTTTTTCTTCTCCTTCTCTTTCTCCTTCTCTTTTTTCTTCTCTTTCTCTTTCTCTTTCTCCTTCTCTTTTTTCTTTTTCTTCTCCTTCTCTTTCTCCTTCTCTTTCTTCTTCTTCTTCTCCTTCTTCTTCTCCTTCTCTTTCTCCTTCTCCTTCTCTTTCTCTTTCTCCTTCTCCTTCTCCTTCTTCTTCTCCTTCTCCTTCTCCTTCTTCTTCTCCTTCTCCTTCTCCTTCTCCTTCTTCTTCTCCTTCTCCTTCTCCTTCTCCTTCTCCTTCTCCTTCTCCTTCTCCTTCTCCTTCTCCTTCTCCTTCTCCTTCTTCTTCTCTTTCTCCTTCTTCTTCTTTTTCTCCTTCTCCTTCTTCTTCTTTCTCTCTTTCTTCTTCTTTACTTTAGTTTAAACCTTTTTCTTAACTTTTACTTGTATTACTTTCTTAGTTTTTACTTTTACTTTTACTCTAATAATAGTCTTGTCCTTCTTTATTTTTACAAACTCCTTTATTATTATCTTATAATTTATAAAATAGTTTGTATTAGTAAACAGATTAGAAAATAGAAAATAGAGAACTTATTATTAAATTAACTCTTTATTAGTATAAATAATACTTTTTTACTCTCTAAATTATTATTATTATAAGTACTATTATTTAAACTCTCTTTGTTTTTAAACTTAGAATCTATAATTAATTTGTTAGTTTCCTTCTTTATAACCTTATTCTTTAGTTTACTTTTTATATTAGAACTTATATAGTATATTAGTATATAAGTTAGAAACAATATACTTTATAAAAATACTTACTAAGTATACATTTAACTAGTTTATTATTATGTTTATTCTCTTACTAGTTACTATATTATTATACATACTAATTCTAAGGAAAATTATAAAATTAGTATAAAAAGAGTAGAAAGGAGTATAATACTTACTATTAGATTTATTAGAGAGTAGTAATAATATAGTAAGAGTAATAGAAGAAAGTAGGAAAAATAAATAATAATGTTTATATATATATATAACTTACATTTAGTCTACTAATTATAAAATTAATTATGTAACTATAGACAGTTACAAGTAAACACACTAGAAGATAAAACAATTAGTATTATACTAAGAACTATATAAACAATTATAGTAATCAATTCTAAACATTTATATAACTTATAAAAGTGTATTTTAAGAATACTCAACTATTTTACATTATAAGTGTTTACAAACAGAACTGTAAATATACACAGTCTTAGAATTAGCTTATATATACTGTTTACCTTACAGAATGTACAAATCATGTGTTTATTATAGGCTCAGAACACAAGTTGTATTATAGTAAGTAGTTTAGTAAACTATTATATTATTATTACTTAGATTAAAATACTACAATCTTCTAATTAGATAGAACATTAGAGTAATTAAAGTAATAATCTTAGAAGACAACTAGAAATCTCAGAATTCTCTACACTTTGTCTGTACTAATCAGATAATAATAGTATAAGAACCTTCTACTTCTTTTAATGTAAATCTTACTTTTCCTTTTGTGTAACATTTCCTATAGTTAGAATGTAGACTACTTAAATTTTCTTTATACATTTTCACTCTATTTTCTTTCAACCTCTAGTAAAAGGTTCTCTTATTTGTTCTTGTATATTTTGTTATTTTTCTTTTGTTCAACTATAACATTTCCCCTTTAGTACTATACTTTTCTAGAACTCAGAAAACTATAAATACTATAACTTATATACTAGATACAGGAGGAGAATTCAAATAGTTTACCTATTAATTTAGCTCTTGTTATTTGTCTCAAAGTCCTCTAGTATAAGGTATAGTCTTAGTCTTTATTGTTTCTGTATTAGTTTGTTTGTTGTGTACTTTACAAGTGTACATTCTGTTATTCATGTCTCTCTTCTAAGGTTGTAACTGTGTTAGAAGAACTCAAACCTGTTCAGAACCACTCTAGTCTTATAAGACTCATAGTTTAGCTCCCTCTCAAACTTAACAAATCATCTGTGTTCTTCTCTTAGACATTTTACAGGAGTTTTAATAAGGACAAGAGATACTGAGTAGTTAATTGTTACCTTTCCCCTTGTTCTTGTATACTTACCCTTTCTATAAGTTATGAGTCTTACACTCCCTACTCACATTAACTTACTAATATGGCTCCCCCTTATACAGACACACACTACAAGCCTACTAATGTACTTAAGTACTTTAGTCAAAATATTATAATGCTAAAGACTGAAGCAAACTGTAAAATGTGGTACTACTGTATTGTTTCTAGTGTTACAGCTATATACTTTGAACACTTACTAAAGGATGAACTACAGAACAAAGTTAAGAGAGAGATAGCTAAGACTATCTATGTATGTATTGTTAACAACATTACTGATACTATATTAGCAAACTATATACACTTTAATATGTCTATTCCTCAGCTAATGAAAGTGCTTAAAGAATGCTTCAACCCTTAGACAGTATGTAAAAAGGCTATTAACAAATCAGTACTGTTTATCTATAGAGATTATGTTAAACACTTCAGATGTACATTAGACAGACTTGAGAAAGTATATACAACCCTGTCTACTAACAGTAATCTACTAAAAGACTCTACATATAAAGCAGTAATATTACTTGCTACTCCTGAACAATATACACACATAGTAAATATAATAATACAGTCTACTAATGTTCAAAATGAAGGCAAACCAGTTGATGAACATAAGAAAGTTGAACCAAAGTAACTAATTCTTACATTACAGAATGTCTACAATAATTACTGTGCTAAACAAGTACAGGGTTCTAATGATTGGATGAAGAATAATGCACACACTAATACAATGTATAAAGTAAATAAGTAGAGGAAATTCAATCTACTGAATCTGTCCAATTTGTTAAAATCAAAATGTTTCAATTGTAGAAAAACAGGACATTTCTCTAAGGAATGTTACAAACCTCCTACTAAAGCTATAAAGCTTGTATGTGCCAAACATCAGGCTAATATTGTGTATAAAACAAATCAAACTGTAGAAAATACAACAAACATGTTTATTATTGAAATCCAAATGAAAACAATGTTGAATTAAAAGAAGGTAATGTTGAAATGAACAATAATGCCTATACTCTTATTCTGAGCAACCAGGACAAACAATTCGAACAATTTGGTTCCTAGGTATGTACTAATGTATTTACAAATACAATCATAACTAATAAGAAATCCTATACACAAATGATGGATTTACTCAATTCTAGTACATTAATACACACTACTCCTTATCTATTTCAATTAACAGACATACACAACATAACTCCTACAATTGTAACTATTGCAAATAGATCAACAATGACTCTTAATTAAGCTAGATCTATGTGTATTGAAATTCTAAAGAATACACAACAAATAAGTATTATAACATTACAAAACATTTATTATTATCCACAAATGAACTTTTCCCTCATAAGTCAAGTGTTACTATATAGGGAAGGCTATTCTTTTGTGTTTACAAACAATACTTGTACTATAACATTACTATGTAACAAATACATTAAACATGTATAATTGAGAAACAACTTGTATATTTTGTACAATAATCACTTTTTAAAAACAATGAACAAACTATCTATTTATAATATACATAAATGCCTCAGGCATATAAGTTACAATTACATCAAACAATTATTAAAAACACAACCAAGTGTTCTAACAACTAAAATAACAAACTACAAAGAAAAGGAATGTATTGAATATATAAAAGCAAATATTGAATGTACACCAATACTAAAACTACATCAATCTCCTCTTGCAAAAGTATTTGGAGATCATATTCATATTAATATTATCAGTCCTATCAAACTGTACACATATAAGAACATACACTACTTATTAACAATTGTAGACAATTCTACTTGTTAGTGCATAATGCTCAAATTACAAACAAAAACCAATACATATACACAATATGTATAATGGACAACTAAAATATTTACACAGTACAGAATAAAAATAAAACTATTACAAAGCAATAACAACACTGTATTCCTTAGTAAAGATTTCCAACAATATTTGGATTCACAAGGAACAAAATGAAGATTAACAGTACATCATACTCTACAACAGAACAGAATAGCAGAACAAACCTATAAAACTATATTTAGAGGTGTAAGAGCATATCTAATATCTACTAAACTACCATTCACATTATAGGCTAAAGCAGTAATTCATATCACCTATATTCATAATAGAACACTGTGTACTGTATTAAATTATAATACTCTACATTACAAATGTTACAGAACCTACAGAAC